AAAGCATAATATTCTTATTTCCTTCTGTCCTCTGCTTCAAAAAGAATGTCCACCATCCACTTTGTTAAAAACCCATGTGTTTCTTGCTGGTATGTCTTTCTTTTCTCTACGTGGGGCTGCCCTTGAAGACTGCCCGGAAGCTTCAGATGGTCCAGCGCTCAGCAACCAGGTTGTTAACAGGAGCGGCACTCAGGGAGCATACCACTCCTCTGTTGAGCCAGCTCCACTGGCTGCCAATTTGCTACAGGGCACAATTTAAGGTGCTGGCGTTAGCCTACAAAGCCCTAAACAGTTCTGGCCCCTCCTACCTCTCCGAACGCATCTCCTCCTATGAACCGGCACGGACATTAAGATCGTCCGGGGAGGCCTGCTCTCGGTCCCGCCAGCATCACAAGTGCGGCTGGCGGGGACGAGAGACAGGGCCTTCTCAGTGGTGGCCCCTCGGCTATGGAATGCCCTACCAGTAGACATCAGACAGGCCCCCTCGTTGCTGGCATTTCGGAGGAAGGTCAAGACTTGGCTCTACGAGCAAGCGTTTGGCTAATCAGTGCAACTGAACAACTGAACACAGGAAGTCGGTAAAATTGAACATAGGAATGGCACAAGGATTATGAGAATGGATCTTGTTCTGTTTTGAGGCGTCATGAATTGATAAGGAATTGATAATAATTGTTGATTTTGTTGTAATGTGTGATGTGTTTTTAACTGTATATTACTGTATAACTTGCATTGTGTAAACCGCATTGAGTTGCCTAATCTAGGCTGAAAAATGCGGTATAGAAATAAAGCAAATAAATAATAATAATAAATTTTCCTTTGGCGCTGTGCAGCATTCAGTTCAAAAAGCCTATGGATTTTGATTTCCTTCTTCTAAATGAAATCTGCAGATCATTTTTTTTCCCAAGTGCCTTGGAGCTGGTCCTCTTGTATTTTCTAAACATCCCATTGCACATGGAGGGTGTTCTATAAATATGCTCATAATATTCCCTTAACACAGCGGACATTGTCAAGGATATTTTGCCGCAGAATCAGATGCTGTGAGGGCCTTGCCTGGCATCACGAGTGACAAAGGTTAGTTGGATCAGTCAACATCGTGCCCTAAAACCATGTTTAGTTTATTCCTTCAAATGACATTGCGTCTGTATTCGCTGTGAACTCATCTGCAAATGTAGATATCCTTTTTCAGTCCTGGTTGATATTGCTAACCATAATTCAGGGGTCATAATAAAAGAGTCTGATTGTCGGAACACAGACGCCTTAAAAGGCCAGACTCAGAGTTAATTCCAAAACAAAGTTTATTAAACAAAGGAAAAAGACTCAGAGACACTTAACTCAATGTCTCTGGTCAAAACTCAAAGGTAAAAACCAGTCCTGGTTCAAAAAGGTTAATCAACGTTATAATCCAGATTATCCAGAGAAAAGAACCAGATTAAACAAAAGTATTTCTGAAAGCCACACACCATGCAAACGGTTAACAAAACAAAGAAGCCACAGGGAAGAAAGCGTAGTCAAGCAAAGTCCAGGGTCATAGCAAGCAGAATCCAAAGTAGCGAAAGTCCACAGAAGCAGCGTCGTAGTCAAACCGGTCCAAGGTCAAGGAAGGGGAAATCCACACTCACGAGAATCCAAGCTGAGTCAAAGCACATATGAACAGGAGCAGCAACCTGCAGATCCCAAACCCAACGCCAACATGGAACAGGCAGTGACAAGTCCAGACAGTACCCAATGCACGAACGTATACCAACACTTTGCCTTCTGCAAAGATTCCCCATTTCAGAGCCTACTTTTATCTTACACATCATCATCAGAAGATGAGCTGACCTCCACCCCATCGTTATCCCTTGCAGCTGTTCTTGATTCCACATGTGAATTCCTACTCCCATCTCTCCAACTTCTCCATCTTCTGTCAAGACTTAGGTCCCCCCAAGACTCAGATGTATTCCCCGATTGCCAGTCCTCATTACCAGAGAACCCTACAAATGTATCACTAGACGTCGGCTCCGCACATACAGCTTGTACCTCTTTTACCTTAGTCCAGTCCAATGTGTCATCTCCGTCTTCATCACTCCCTAACCCATCACCCCCAGAGAAACCCATGAATGATTCCTCATCTGTAGGAGCAGTAAGTATATCCCGGATCCTCTTCCTCTGTCGCTCCTCATCCGATTCCTGCTCCCGAGTAACCCTCTTTGTTCCCCTATTCCCATCCATTGTATCTCCCTCCTCTCCTTCACTCATGGACCCTTCGTCCCCAGAAAACCCCTCAAATGAGTCCTCATCAGTGGGTACCATAAGTGTATCGCGGATCCTTTTCCTCTGTTGTTCCTCATCCGATTCCTGCTCACGAGTACCCCTTTTTCTCCTTCTGGTGCCCATACTACTGCTTGCAACGTTACTTACAGGCTCTACTGCAACACTGATTTCTGCACTAGAAGAATAGATGCTTGTATCCAATCTTTGAACTTTCTTTGAGCCTGAAAGACCTGTTACATCTGTACCACTCTGGCAGAAGGAATCACTCCTGAGTGAATTTAAATTTAATGCCAGCGGTCCATCCACCAACACAACCGTGTATGTCTCACTCACTGAGAACACAAATTACAAAAAGGAGAATGGCTGCCAATTGAAGCAACTGAAGCATTCCAACTAAAAGAAGCGCAAGATTCATAGCTACTGTTTCATAGCTTGCACCTGTTTTACGATATATTTTAGATGATTTAAAATGAGAAAGAAAGGTGAGACTCAACCAAACACTTATTTTTCTGTATTGTCTAAGGCTTTCATGGCTGGAATCACTGGGTTGTTGTAGGTTTTTGGGCTATATGACCATTTTCTAGAAGCATTCTCTCCTGACGTTGACATCAGAAGAGCTGCAAGACTGAGAACATGCCAGGAGTGTCGACAAAGATCCACCCAGAGGAAAAGTGTTCTTGCCATACATCAAGTGAATCACTGATCGCATGAGGAAACATAATACACAATCTATCTACAGACCCACTAAGAAAATCCAACCAATGCTACGTTGAGCAAAGGACAAGAGAGGTCCTCTCACCTCTGCAGGAGTCTACCATGTATCATGCAGCTGTGGACAAGTTTAAATATATGTGCTTGTTGTTGTTGTTCATTCGTTCAGTCGTCTCCGACTCTTCGTGACCTCATGGACCAGCCCACGCCAGAGCTCCCTTTCGGCCGTCACCACCCCCAGGTCCTTCAAGATCAATCCAGTCACTTCAAGGATGCCAACCATCGATCTTGTATCAAGTCTACATGGGGACCACCAAATATAGCAGAATTGCCCAAACACGAATCAAGGAACATGAAAGGCACTGCAGACTACTTCAACCAGAGAAGTCAGCCATAGCAGCACCTGATGAACCAACCTGGACACAGCATATTATTTGAGAACACAGAAATGCTGGACCACTCTAACAACCACCATGTCAGACTACACAGAGAAGCCATTGAAATCCACAAGCATGTGGATAATTTCAACAGAAAGGAGGAAACCATGAAAATGAACAAAATCTGGCTAACAGTATTAAAAATCTCTAAAATTACAGTATAACAGCAAAAAAACACTAAAACAAAGGGAAACTCCAGAGAGGAAACAATCAGGGACAGCTAATCACTTCTCAACAAAGGATTCCCTCAGGCACTAAAAAGCCATACCAAAAAACTGCCAGGCCATCAAATGCTAATCAAGGAGGCCGGTTGAAACACCTAGCTCCAACAGACAAGAGATCCTGGACATTCCACAGATATTGTTGTTGTTGTTCATTTGTTCAGTTGTTTCTGACTCTTTGTGACCTCATGGACCAGCCCACGCCAGAGCTCCCTGTCGGCCGTCACCTCCCCCAGATCCTTCAGAGTCAAGCCAGTCACTTCGAGGATACCATCCATCCATCTTGCCCTTGGTCAGAACCTCTTCCTTTTTCCTTCCATTTTCCCCAGCATCATTGTCTTCTCTAAGCTTTCCTGTCTTCTCATAATGTGGCCAAAGTACTTCATCTTTGCCTCTAATATCCTTCCCTCCAGTGAGCAGTCGGGCTTTATTTCCTGAAGTATGGACTGGTTGGATCTTCTGGCAGTTCAAGGCACTCTCAGAACTTTCCTCCAACACCACAGTTCAAAAGCATCTATCTTCCTTTGCTCAGCCTTCCCTATGGTCCAGCTCTCACATCCGTAGGTGACTATGGGGAATACCATTGCTTTGACTATGCGGATCTTTGTTGCCAGTGTGATGTCTCACAGATATATAAACCCAGTTTTCTTAGCTCCAACAGACCTCACAACCTCTGAGGATGCTTGCCATAGATGCAGGCGAAACATCAGGAGAGAATGCTTCTAGACCCGTGATGGTGAACCTATGACACGTGTGTCAGCATTGACACGCATGGCTATTTTTGATGACATGCGGGCACATGCAGCCACACACAGAGAAGTACACCTTATAAGAGCCAATCTAATTCCATCCTTAAATTTGTAAAAGGCTCTACAAATTTAACATCTGCACGTTTGAGCATTGTTTACTCCATAACTCAGCATGGAATATACATTTTTCTTATTTAAACTATAAATATTGCAAAATTATGGGGTTTTTTTTTTCGAAGTTGACACCCCACCCAAGTTATGCTCTGGGTTTTGTCAAATTTTGACACACCAAGCTCAAAAGGTTGCCCATCACTGTTCTAGACCATGGCCATATAGCCCGGAAAACCTACAACAACCCCCTTATTTTTCTCTTTCGAAACTGGAAGCTTCCCGAAGGAAGGCTCCTGGAGGCAACAACCAAAAGATACCGTGCGGTTATTCTCCCTCCGCCCACACAAAAAGAAAAACCTTTTTTTGGAGGCATGAACAAAGGTCTGAGAAAATATATGAATGGCAGGAAAGGAGGAAGAGAATGCCATTTGTAAATGTGTGAATGAAACCAAGCAGGGCGACTGCACTGTGGAGGTTTTGTCTGGAGGCAACACAAAGGAGACACAACACAGCGGGGATATGTAGCCAAGGAAACGGCCTTTATTCGGCAAGGCTTAAACAAGAAGTGACTTGAGATTCAGCAACAAACGCAGGGGTGCAGCTTGGCCCTGCGACGGCCTCTTCCTCACCCTCAAAGAAGCCCAATTCCAAGAATGGCGGAAGGGTATGAGGCACCCCCTCCCCTTTGACTCCCCCAGGCGGCTTTATGGGGTGGGGGCTCTGCTCCTCACCCCGCTGCGCTCTTCTTCTTCTTCTTCTTCGCACACGGCTAGGGAGTGTGTCCCCCTCCTATGTCCACCCCAGGATCGCCCCACAGAGAGTTCAAGCACAAGTGGGAAGGGGGCATTTCTCAAACATACAGGATGAGTGTGTATACATTATATATATATTCATATTTATAGAGTCACTTGGCAGCGCTTCCCAAAGATCCAGCGCTGCTGGGGGCAAAGAGCACAAGGCCAGGCTGCCCCCTTCCCCTCCTGTCCCAGAAGATGGAGCTCCAAGAGGCCTCTGGTTCCAATTCCATCCCCATTCCTCCTCTTCCAGCTCAGAATGGACCCCCGGTGTCTCCCGACCCCCAAACATCGCTCCGGTTGATGAGACCACCTCCCCAAATCCAAGAAGAGAGAACGGAGCGGCAACAAAATGAAGCCAAGGGGAGACGAGGTGGGCGTCACTGACCCACGCTCCCCCCAAGCAAGGCAAAGCCATCAAGGTGACCAGGAAATAAAAAAGAGAAGAGGCTGGAGGGGAGGGTGTCCCTTCGGCCAGGGGCAGGACCTGTCCAGAAGCAACCAGGCAGGCGAGGCGGCCTCTCAGTCGTCTATGCAAATCACCTCCCCGCTCTTCGCATCCTTCTTCTCCAGGCTCTCACCTTCTTTCTCCTTCTTCACAATCACAGGAGGGCCATTGGCTGCAATGACATGGGGAGTGGGGAGGAAAAGGGATAGGTTAGCTTGGAGCTGCCCAACTTTGGGGCACCCCCCTCCTTAATGTCTTAGTATCCAGGCTTCAAGCAGAAGACAACTTTTGAAGGCATTTGCTCTTGAAGGTCATTACAGTAGAGTCTCGCTTATCCAACATAAATGGGTTGGCAGAACATTGGATAAGCAAAAATGTTGGATAATAAGGAAGAATTAACAAAAAGCCTATTATACGTCAAATTATGATATGATTTTACAAATTAAGCACCAAAACATCATGTTATACAACAAATCGACAGAAAGCAGTTCAATACATGGTAACATTATGTATGTATTTAATTATGACATTTATATTTATTTATTGTTTACTAGCCGTCCCCTGCCACGCGTTGCTGTGGCCAGTCTGTGTATATGTGTTTTGTGTGTGTGTTTGTGTATATGTGTGTGTATATTTCTGTATATATGTGTTTGTGTGTGTGTGTATATATATGTGTGTGTGTGGGTGTATATATGTGTGTGTATATATTTGTGTATTTGTGTGTTTATATGTGTACATCCTCTGAGGATGCTTGCCATAGATGCAGGCGAAACGTCAGGAGAGAATAACTTTAGAACATGGCCATATAGCCCGAAAAAACCTACAAAAACCCAATAATAATAATAATAATAATAATAATAATAATAATAATAACTTTATTTATACCCTACCACCATCTCCCCAAGGGGACTCGGGGCAGCTGACATGAAGCCAAGCCCAACAATTACAACAAGGCAAAAAGAGCGTAAACATACAATAATACATAAAATAAAATATAACAAAAGAAAATAATACAAGATAAACACATGATGTAACATAAAAAAGCAAAAATTGAGCAGAGTAGGCAGGGCCAATTGCAATTTTGTTTACTTTAGCTGAAGGTGTTGGAGGTGGTGGTGTCTCTGGGCTGGGATCATCATCTTCAGGAACAAGGTCTGGGTTAAGCGAAAATATACTTTTAAAATAAACTTTTAAACTAACCTGTGATGAAGGATCCGGTGGGCATTTGGCTGTAGTTGGCGCCCATGGTGGGCAGTGCCCCACCAGGAGTGGCACCAAAAGAGCTTCCAAAGGTGGGAGGAGTGGCATATGGTCCGGGTGGGAAGGCCTGTGAAGCGGGAAAAGAAAGGAAAGGGGGAGCTTTGAGTTCTAAACACAAAACAGGGAGAAAACAATCCACAACAGGCACCAGTAAGCCCAGCCAGAAGCACAAAGAGCACTGCAGGCACTCTGTCTGTCAACAACTTTGCATTCAGGTACAGGTAACCACGAATTCAGTGCCAACAAGTGACCAAATCTCACTTGTCCTTCACCTCCTTTACCATCACAAGCCCTCTTTGGTTTCTAGACTAGTTGCATAGGAAAGGAAACTCCTTCCACAACCACAATGGAAGCAGAGCGGAGCAGTCGAGTGATGTTACATTGCTCTGCCACTTTCCGTGAGAAAAGGCATCTCTCCCTCTCTTTTTTAGGCCTCTAAGAGGGCTAAGCAGTCCACACTTCCATGCAGGTTGCAGCAGGGGCTTCTCTTCCTAAGGAGCAGGTATGAAAACATAAGCACATTATCATAACATAAGCCCTTTTTACAGAAGATTAGTGGATAGACACATAATTTTTTCAAAGGCATTTTTGTGTCAGGCTGTGAACAGAAGGCAGGCATGAGTTTGGTTCTGCCCTGATTAGCCTATCCACACCATTTCAAGTGATCTCATTCGACGAGTGTAAGGTTACCGGGGCAGTCTGAGTCTCATTCCCTTTGCTTGCCAAGCGGCTAAGGATGCTGCGTTCGGACATCTGGAGGCGAGCGGCAATCGGAGGGATGCGGGAGAGCGTGGCGGGCAGGCGGGTCACGTCCGCCTTCATGTCGCTGAGAAGCTCCTCCAACTGGTTCAGCACTGGTGTGCCAGCAGCAAAGAGAGGGGGAGAAAAAGAAACCAAAATCTGTCAGGAGGGCAGAGCCCAAGTCCGCAGGTGACCTCTCCTGACACCCAAGGCCTACTGTAAACAAATATTATTGCACTGAGTGTATGGGGATGGGGGGCATTGGCTCCCAGGGCATTATTTAAAGAGCAAAAGCAACGGCCAGACATGTTCTTTTCCCACCAGTGATGGAGAAGGCCCATTCTTTCCATTACTAAAGTGCCCCAGGGGACTGCAAAGCACTACATTACTCTGCAAGGAAGCAGGGAGATGACTGCTGGGACTGTGGCACAGCTGGCATT